CAAACTAAATTTTAAGGTTTAAAACAGGTATAAATTTAGTTTGTAAATAATAACAAAAAAAAAAAAAAAATAAATAATCAAATTCTAGATTAAGTTAGGTAGATTATATTAAGCCAGGTATAATATTCTTAAATTTAATAGATTTCAATTTTTATTGTTTGTTGTCTTAATTAGAAGAAAATCAGCTTTGATAAAGTGCGTATGTAGCGCACGAAATATATTAGCGAAAAATAAAAAGTATTTTATTCCGAATAAAAGGAAGTTTTCTTTTCACACCAATAAAAAAAAAAAATTATATTTCGGAAAAATTATCAACCATTGAAAAAAAAAAAAAAATTTTTTGAAGCTGAATTTTCTTCAAGATAGAAAACTAAAATTTCATATATAACATATATAATTAAGTATAATTTAAGTTTGAATAAAAAATCCCTTATAATGTTTACTATACAAGCAGGAAATTTTAGTAATGACATTTTATAAATTAGTCCTTTATGAAACACGGTATCGAACGCTTTTTCGATATCTAAGTAAATAATACCAGTAGAATGTTGGTTATCTCGTTTTCCTTGACGTATTCAACTATTCGTTGTATTTGATGTGAGCAGAAATGTTTCTGCCTAAATCCGAACTGGTCGTTAGGTATTATTATATTATTATTTTGCTCTACTAACTAAAATTGTTGATTCGATTTAATAAAATTTTTTCAAATAATTTACCAATATTTGAGAGTAAACTAATTGGCCTGTAATTTACTGAATATGCAGGATCCTTTCCTTTTTTAGGTATAGGAGTAACTCTCGCCAATTTCCAGAATTTAGGGAAATGAACCAATCTAATTATGGCGTTAAACAAGTAAACTAGTACTATCAACATTCTAACGGGCAGTTGTTTAAGTTCGCAATTTGCAATTTTGTTTGCACCTGGAGCCTTCTTATTTTTAAAACGGCGAATATGACTATAATAAATATATATAATTCTAATTACATTTACCCTTTCCTTTAAAAATAATTCCTTTAATAATTAAGAAATTTTAAATATTACAAATTCCACGTGCTCTGATGATGTGTACATATGTATGTATACAAATTTATACGGATAATCGTTTCCATATCGGCCGGCATTAAAGAAAATGCCCAGTATATTGCATTTTTGCCAGCTAGAAGACATCAATTTGAAATACACTAATACCTCGCTTTATGAGGTACTTCATACTGCGTCGCAAAAAATTTCACATTGCCACGAAATAAAAATTTGAGCATTTTTTTGTTTGCTTTCACAGTACATTGTATGTATTATTTGCTGTGTGCACCATTAACATTGTAAGCACGTTAAAGGCAATTTTAAAAAGGAAATTACGATATAAAATATTTGCAGCCATTAGCATCCAAGTCTACACATCCACGTGCGATACACAATCCCCGGAAATATATCTTGCAATGTATTTTTCACGTGATAAAAAAGAAATACCAATTTTTGTTGAATTTTCCAACCTTGTCCGAACTTTGTCGCCAAGATTTCGCACAGATGATAGCAAAACAATAACTGACGCTAAGTCGCCTAAAGACGATATCGCCTAATCTAAAAATTTTTTGCAGGGAAATTTCTGATTTTCAGTTATTTAAAAAGAATTCTGGCCCCAGTCAGAACCCTTTTTTTTCTATATTTGGTTTTTGCATCTACTTTACTGTACATATACATATTTCGTAACTCTCAGTACATTTTTCTTAGAAACTGAAAATTTGAAAAGTGGAATTTGAAAGATAAAATGCTCACGTTTTTTTATCTGACTTCCTAAATCTAGAAAAAAAGATGCTCCCAACGCACTAGAAATACATACTAATGGAAAGAGCATCTTGAAAAAACATTTAAACAAAATTCAACGAATTAGAAATGCTAAAGAAAAAAGCATCTTTCTAAAAAATCGTATCTTGAAAATAAAAATGATTTAGTGAAACTAAAAAGTTCAGATATGTTGCTTTATTTGCTCTATGCGTTGTCAAACTGAAGTTGGCACTAAATGCCAAATGTTGTTACATTAGCTTGCATAAAAAATAAACAAAGAGGATTGTCTTATTTTATTTATAAAATTAGTACAGTTTGTAATTACAAAATCATGAAATATTTAATAATAAGTGTTAAAAAAAGAATATTATTTTATAAAAACTTTTTTTTCGATCGGAGAGAATCTTCGACAGAGAATCCAGTGGTCGCTTACCGAGGTGCGGGTTGAAATACTGCGTCACTTTAAGGTCACTAAAACCTTTAATCATTGTTTAAAATAAAACTTGTCATTAGACTAATCATCAATAAAAATTTGTCCAAACAATTTTGTTGTTTTTTTTTGTATAGAACTCTATTATCTACCAAAATTCCATTAGAAATATTTGATAGGTTATATGTGTTACCCTAACAGAGTTCAAAGAGTTTCGTTCGTTTGAGTTCGGACCTTGAGGCACACCTTGCATGTTTTTCACCTCAGATCTATCTTTTCCTAACTTGATGTAAAAGACTCTTTCTGCCAAGTAGGATTCTATTATTTCAACGAAGTTTTTTGGTAAAATTCTATGCAAATTGCAAACAAGACCTTCATGCCATACTTCATCGAATGCTTGCGCCACACCAAGAAACTCTGAAGACCAAATAGATTTTTCTTCTAGAGCTTGCTCAGTAATATCCGTTATTCGATGAACTTGTTCTATTGTTGAGTGTTGCTTTCTGAAGCCGAACTAATACGCTGGAATTATAGTACCATTTTCAATCACAGGTTGCAATCTTCAGAGAAATAGTTTTTCAAACAACTTCCAAATAACTGAAAGTAACGAAATTGGTCTGTATGATGTCGTTTCGGTAAGCTACTCACCCAACTTTGGTATCATAATTATGTCAGCAAATTTCCAAGTTGCTAGAAAATGCCTCAGCTTGACTATAGCATTCATTATTTTAGTTAGGAACGATACCGCTTTTTTAGGTAATTACTTTAACAGCGGTGATTGAATCAAATCTCGTGCTTTTTTTCGCCCGCAGAGCTTTTATTTCCTTTGATATTTCTTTTATGTTGAAGAATGTTACATTATGTCTGGAATACGAGTTGATCTTAAGCTCAAGTTGATATCAGATTCGATGATGTTCGGTGTAAATGTATAATACAGATGACCAGCAAATGTTTCCGCCTTTTCCTTGTCGCTACGCGCCCAAGTTTTATCACTTTTCCTGATTTGTGCCGAGTATTCTATTGAACATTTCAATTTGCTTGTTGCTTTCTACAACGAGTATTTTCTTTCTTTCGTAGCAGTTAAACTTTGTAAATATTTCTGGACAGACTTTTCTTTCATATCTTTGATTTTTTTAAGTTTTGTAATCTGTTATTTAAAATATTCCTATCTGCTGCATCTAGTGTTTGCTCCCATCTTTTAATGGCTCTACGTTTTTGGCTTATCATATCTATTATGTGTCTGGGATAATTGTGACCAGATTTTCATTCTGTGCTGGACTTTGTGCTTTCCCATGCTGTATTTTGTATATCGTTCGTAAATTTTTCTACGGCTGCTTCAAAATCCTCTTCTGTATCCAGTTTTGCACTTGCGTCCTACCGTCGAGCCAGTCAGCACCGAACGAGCAACGGACGAACGCATCGGCCCACCCGAATCATGACCAAGAGAAGTCGGCGAATGCAAGGACATCAAATCATTCACAGGCGAAAGCGACGAAGCACCAGTCCCAAGCGCCCCGGATACCCCTTCCCCGGACAGCGCTCCCAACGCAACCTTCCTACAATCTCAACAAAACGAACAAACACCTGCAGTCTCACGAATACGATCAGCAACACTGCCCCCAACGCCAAGATATTTGGAGTGAAAAGCCCTGCCACAAATTCCCGAGCATATCATATTGGTATGGACTCTAACATGCCGACAGCCCTCACCCATACACTTAACCGACATGATCCACCACCTATAATAAAAAAAAAAAGTAAAAACAGCATGAATAAGTTATTGGCCAACAAAAAATGTAAATAAGAACAGTACATAATATAACAACAAGAAAAAATTATTGCAGACCAAAAAAATAAAAACCGCTAATAAACCTGAAAGGGTTAATGAAATATAGTGTACAAAAATTAGAGTAATAAAAATGAGTGAAAAATTAAGGAAAGAAGGACCGAGAAGGCAACAGAAGAATAACTGTGATAAGAAAAACACTGAAGGGAAACGCTCGAGAAATTAAAATAAAATAATAACAGTTGAAAAAAAAATGGCGCCAAAAAATTATTCGAAAAAAAAATATACATATAAAAAACAAAAAAAATATATATATAAAAATAAAGTAAAAAAAAGTTATGAAATATTCAACAAAAATAATGAAAATTATTTGAAGGGAACAAATAGGAGTAAAAAGATAACTTACCAAAACAACACAAACTTACGAGAAAAACGAATCATCCAGAAATTATCCAATAAAACAGAAATGGACACACAAAAAAAAATATTTTAAATATTAACAAATCGCTGAACAAAACAATAAAATCAAAATTCAAAAAGAAGAATTAAGAAAATAAAAACGATAAAAAACGACATTAGATTAAAAAATATATTTTGTTTTATTAACAAAACTAAATAAAACAACTCAAAAATACAAAAACATGAGCAACCAAAATCAACAACCTGTCCCAACAAAAGTCAATACAATAATGTTTAAATTCGTTTTTTTTACAGTATCTAAAATGAAAAAATATTTTGAAAAATTTTTTATTTTGACTTTAAAAAAAAAATTCAACTTATCCTTCCTACAAATTACACATATTTTATAGTGGAGGCCAAACAAGAAAATAAAATAAATACGCTCCTGTTACGATTTTGACAATACTCGGAGCAAAGAAAGAGGCAACTATAAAATATTTAAAAAAAGGGTTAAAAAAAACTATGTATTTAATACATATAAACTTATAAAAAAAATATAACAAATGCAAAAAAGAACAAAATTTTTTGGAGACAGTAAAGGGTGGTTACATAGGTGCAAATTGTTGCTTCTATTTAAATAAAGAAATATGTACGTAAGATGTTTTACACCATATACGTGTGAATATTATTTATTTCAATAATTAGCGGCTATTTTTCTAAGTAAAATTAGTTTTTGTTTAATAAAATATACCATACGATACATAGGACATTTAAAATAAACTTTTTTTTATATATTTAGTTTTCCTAGAAATGATGGAATAAAAAGAAAGTGGATTGGATAATGAAAAGTAAAAAAAGGAGACTGAAGGAGTTTTTATATCAAATATTTTATCAAATGTATAAAATATAGTACTTAGTACATATATGCTACATATAGTGCTAAGTATATGGACATAACATTTAGGTTCAAAATATAAAAAAAAATTACATATTAAAATTTATTTTAATATGTAATTTCTTTTCATAACGCCATATGCTTTACCTTATTTATGTTTACTTTTTTAATGTGACTTGTTTTGTTAATATTTCTCTTAAGGATGAAAATTTGGTCAACAAAGAAATATAAGAAGGCGGTGCGATGTTGTTGAATGCAGTTAGTAAAACAAAATATTAGTGTAAGTTATTTAATAAATGTATTGTTTTAGAATGAATACGTAAATATTTGAAGCTCAGTTAATTAATTTGGAAGTTTATAACAACATATCATCTACTTTATTGAGCAATAATGAAAATACTAATTAAAATTTGTTAAAAAGGCACAGTTTTAGAGTCATTTTATATCTGAAATTTAAAAATATTTATAAAACATCACTGCAACAACGTCTCACATTGAAAAATGTTTTACTAACATCATATTCATCAACAACAAGTGTGTCGCAAGTAACACTTAAGACAGTAAAAAATATAAAAAAAAAAATAATATGTTTATAAAATAAATTTATTCAAAAAGAAAAAATTACACTAAATCCTCGAGATACGACATTTCGAGTTAGGACATGATAAATTTGGACCATTTTTATTCGGCTTGCGATATTATTTCTGATACGACATTAAATATTAAAATAATATTTTTTTGGCAGATTTTACTGTTTTTTGAATATAACTCTGTACCGAATTTAGTTATAAGACAACACTAAAGCACATTATTTCAATAATGAGCTTTTTCTAGTTAAAAATACGAATAGAAGTGATATAATATATCAACTTCATCAGATTTTATTTAATTTATTTTTGTCATAATATTGAGTTTTTTTGTTCTGTTATTATATTTTGTTGTTTTTTTATAATTTTTTTACCTTTTTTTAAAAAACAGGTCAATCATATAAAATAGTTTGTCTAATTCACTTCTTCATACATTTTTTTCCCTCAAGCGACAATTCGAGTTACGACAACAATTTCTGGAACCAAAAATGTCGTATCTCGAGGACTTAGTGTAATGATTTTTCAAATATTTAAAAAAAATATTAAAATATTTTTTATTTTACTTCAAAAATTTTTTTAACTTATCTTTCCTACAAATTATACATATTTTATAGTACAGGTCAAATAAAAAAACAATGCACCAGAAAAAGACAAGCAGAAAGCATTTGGCTTCATTGTTTTCAATGATGTTCCTTCTCTTAGTATTTATACTTATTTAAAAAAAAAAAACAAAATCAAAATTATTATTAAAAATTAATATTTATTTAACTAATTTTTTATTCTTGAACCTATCTAAAACAAATGTGTTTTTCATATCTTTATCAGGTGTAGATTCTGAAATTTTTACACCATGTTCCGAAAGAATTTCATTTTTCTTTGCACACAAGCCTGCGATGAATTCCTTTCGTCTTAAATTTTTAACAATTTGTTTGTTTCGCGCGGCTTTAGCAGATCCTCCCTTTCCTTTCATTTTTCTTCTAGATGTAAAATCTATTTGAGGAGGTTTAATGAAAAATATTTGTTTTTTGGTATTAATTCTCTCTTCTAGTTTGGCAACATCGACGCCGGATATATCATTTGGATCTAACGTAATAAGTTCAGGAGGAATTTTTTCTAAAATAGAATGCACTTCATTCTCTCTGCGTTGCGACGCTGTTTGATAAGGGTTTGCTTCATAAGAATCAAAATTGGCTTCTCCTGATCCAGGTACTAACATTGATAGAAAACCTTTCGCGTGTGATATTCCTAAAATGTCTTCAAAAGGACTAAATCTCAGATCGTGAATGTAACTATCTGTTTTTTGTCTTAAATATGGTTCATTACTATCAGCTAATATGATATTTTTATAAATTTCACAAAAATTTCCCATCGAAAAAGATAACATTCCTAAAATTATTTTTTTTTCATATAGTACCTAGAAATTTACAATTTTTTTCTACAGTATACATACCTTTCTGGGAAACAGTGAGATTATTTGCTGGCATTCTTAAACTATAAAATTCTAAAGGTGTGCCAAGATTTCGCGCATCCCATATTTTCACTTTTTTATCTAATCCTGCCGTAACTAAGTAATTTCCTTTAGGATCCACAGTTAGCGCTGTCATTGGAGCTCCGTGACATAAAATTTTCGCCACAGGCTCTTTTATCTTTGGGGTCCACATTGATACAACGCCTTTCCCACTGCCAATGCATATGACACCGTTTATGGGATTCTGACACATTAAGCGAATATCACCAAGTTTTGAGTTATATTGTCCAATTATTTCACCTATGGTTATATCTAACCATGACAGGAAGCCAGTAGAACTGGCGGTTGCTAATAGAAAGTGATAGGGCAAAAATTCAAGCTTGTTTATAGAATGCAGTGTTTTCACGCAATGAAGCTCAGTTCCTTTTTTATCATAAAAATATGTCCAATTTTTTTGAGCGCATGCAAACATTGTTTCTACATGCAACCATGATATATCAGCGATTTCCTCCATTACATTTATTTCGCAATGTAATTTTTTTGTGACCCAATCAAAGGCAGCAACATGTCCACGACGTCCTCCAATCAACAAATGCCTGCCGTTTTTTGTATATCGATGATGATATGGTCCAAAATTTAAATTTAATTTGAAAAATTTCGATGCAGCTGTAATATCGACGTTTTTGGATATTTCCTCTTGCTTATAAAGAAATGTTTGCTCTTCTTCCTCTGCTTCAAGAAAACTAGGAAAGTAATTTTAAAATTAAGTACATATCTAAATTTAACAGATTTATCAGTTCATTACCCATTTTCTTCAGTTAATAAGATTTCTGTCCGTGCAGCTTGCTCTACCGCATAATTTAAACAAATTTCTTTTTTCTTTAATTTAGTTTTAAAAAACCTAGTTTTTACTCCTTCAGTTTTTGCAGATTCACCCCTAGTATGTTTTTCAAGAATTTTAGAATCTATTTGTAGTTGTGGCAAATTTTTCCTTTTTAAATTTTTAAAGGAGTGTTTTCTATGCCGAAATTTTTTTTCAGTATTTACAACTTTAATAACATTTCCTTTGAAGGCATCCTTCTCAATGCTTTCATTTGCTTTGAAGTAACGCAAATTTTTCTTTTTTGTATCAGCAAGCTTTGCTAAAGTGTTATCGTGACTTGTATAACTGTTTTCAAACATTTTTGAGTTTTTGATTATTTCTATTGAACTTTACGAGGTACAAGATACTTCCAATTTTCATAATCCAAAATATTTTTATGCAGGTTAAGTGTATTTTATAATTTCATGCATGCTTTACTTGGTGTATTTAGTATTTTTTATTATGGTATTATATTTTACGAGGTCCCCTGAGTTGTTGATGACAGCTGCCATTTTTAGTAAATATGACTTCATTGGGAGGAAACATACTTTTGTAATATTTGAAGTGATATAAATAATTTTTTTTGAATTAGGTGGAAAAGCAACGAATAAGAAGAAGTATTATGTAATTGTTACATTTGCGATAAAATTTACGATTTAATCAGATCACATCAGTGAAAGTTACATCAGGCTTCTCATCAAAATTGTGGAAAATATTTTTTGGGGAGAATTTCGAAAAGCAGTTAGCTAATTTTTATTTTATATATCATTTTCACAGCAAAGTTAGTAATTTCAAATAATTTCATTTTGATATCTAAACAGTCCTGAGATTTACAACCTGATCGTGTATTTCGCTTTTTTAACTCGCCAAGTGAGAAGAAAGTTAGTATCATATGTACATATGTATATAAGCATATTATAATGTAAGTTTCAAGTAAAAACTATTCCGTACTGTGCATCTCGTTTTTTTTGTAAAGTGTATGTATACACAATTTATTCACTTTGTTTTTGAAGAAGAGCGTCCAATCGATAATTTAAGAAGGAATGCAAAATTCAATCGAAAAAATGAGAAATTTTATTGGAAAAATTAAATACGTATTAGAAAAACAGAGAATTTTGATTTGAAAGTGAATAGAAAGTGAAATGAAAAAGTTAAATATACGATTATGCGAGATATGCGACATAGGCTCTTAATTTTAGACAATCTTTCGTAGTTGATTGACATACCACACTAATTTATTAAATAAAATCATAAATTTTTTTTTAAGAAAATTAAACTTTCGTGCTCTAAATGTTGTACATAGACAGCAAATTTGTCAGCAAGTTTCCCAAAATATTTATTAGTAAAATTAACAAATTATTACAAGAAAAACAATTTAATTTTAATAATTCGCCTAAAATTCTAGTCCCAGTAAAATAATTTAAAAAACAGGACTTTTATTAATTTTAAAATTTAACTGAAAATGGCTACCGATAAGACTATTAGTAGGTAAAAATTATTTACGAATAATGTGATTATTCGTAGATTTTCCTATTAACATTTACTAAAATAAGTAAAGGTTGTATATCAAACTTTTGACAGTAAATATTATAACACCTATAAAACTATAAAAGCCGTAAAATTAACAAAAAAAAAACAAAATTCAGCTGATCGTTGCAAATTTTTGAAAATTTATTAACATGATAATCGCATATGTTTCGATTTAGACTTCGAGTACACTAATACCTTAATACTAAGAATATTTAGAGAATTTTTGTATATGTATGTAGGTTTTTGGTAAATTCTTAAACGTCAAATTTTACAAAATCTGAATTGTTTGAGTTTACGAATACTCTACTGCGTTTTTACTTTCAGTCAAAGTTTAAATTCTTAAACGTTTAAAAAAGTCAATTGAGCGTCAAAATTGTAGATTTTTTTTTTTACATGCAGACAGTCTGACGTAGTAATTGATAAAATAAATTTGATGTATTGAGTGACTATCATTACGTTAAAAATAATATAAAAAATATTTTTTTTGTTAATTTTTAATATGTAAGTATAAAATTATTTTAAATCTAAAAAAAATTTTTTTTTGTTTTGACGTTTACGGATGATCAAAATTCAAAGTCAATTACGGGTAAAAAGTTTACTACATTTCTGTCCGTAAAAGTTTTATACGTCAGACAGTTTGCAGACTGAAAACAAAATTTTGACGTTCAATTTGCGGTTTATATCACTGGATGAGTCGGTAGAAAGTGGTTTTGAGTTAAGGTTAAGCTCGTACGAAAGATTGATATTTCTTAATATGTACTTTATCGAGGTACGTCATCATTCAATATATTCTGACTGTAGTTTAGTGCGTTCTTTTCAATAAAATACTTTTTCATTTGTTTCTCTTAACACATTGACGAGTTGTAAATCTAGTTTCTGATCTCAAATCTCGCTTCTTGATGAATGAACTTAATTTTATTAAAGACTTTTGTAGCTTCCTCTTTTGCGTCGACAGCTCATAATAATTTAACTACATACTGATTTCACGTTATTACTTTTGATGCTTTTGAAAATGTGGCTGAAAATATTTCAACGTTACTTTTTAAGGAATTAAATATATACATAATGAACAAGTAGCACCAAAAACGATGGAACATCTCTTTAGTATCACCACAAATATCAATTTTATTTTCGCGGAATTTTGAAAGCACTGTAAAGGTCATGCGTTTTCGGCGCAGCATCAAATACCATTTTAAAATTATCTGGATTTTGTACAGCGAATAGTGGATGATATCATACTACGTAGCTCCTTTCTACTTCATTAATTAGCAATCTGGTATAAACTTTACAATAATTACTTATCGTTTATTTCATACTTTTATATGTGTGAGTTTTGTGACTACTAAATGACTTAAAGAAAAAGCACAATAAACAACTTAATTTCATTTGACACTCTTATTTTTTCTTGAACTGTCGTGCTGTTCCGACATTTCAAATGGAATTCTATCCGAATTCTTCGTTATTCTTACTATAATGGATGTCCATTTAAGGCACAATATTTCAGGTGCGTCCTTATGATTTAACATTTTAGCTGAAGCAGATTCAGCTTTGGTTACTGGATTCTTCTTCTAGGAACGCAAATGTTTTAATGAAGTTTTGCTTATTGAAGATCTTAACAGTATTTCTGTTATACGGAATATTATTTCTTGACTGTTGTGTAAATAAGTGCTTCAATTTGAATTGGGTGTTACAAATAATGAAGTTGCAATGTTTTAATCATTCCTAGTTGTGTTTTTCAATGGATTGTGTAACAATGAACCAATTTCCACTTGGCTTCACGTGACAAGTTCTTGAATTTGTTACGTTCAAATTTGTGCTATTTGCTTTAAAATGTCACTCTCTTGATTTATCCCGAGTATCGAGTGTAGTCACTTCATTAATACAATTTGTAATACCTGAATGGCTATTCAGTAAGTTTATTGAAGTTGGATCTAAAATTGTTCTTTGTTTGATCGCTCAGTTAAGATTGAACAATAATTTATTTACTAGTTCGTAATTTTTATATAATTTATTTAATTAGTAGCGTTAAGGTGTTACATGTTTATTCATATTTGAAGAACGCACCGTATCTGTCATATGTTAAAACTTTAGCACCGATTCAATAATTTGTTGTGGCTTCTCCGTTTTTGTATTTGGTTGATTTTGTTTCAACTGTCAAATGTTTTTTTTATGTTTTTTGTTGCTATTTGGGTGCAAAACTTTAAAAAAAAAAAGATATTTTTTTAAAACGGAGTTTTCTTTAAAATTTGAAAAAAATTTTTAAGCAAATATGAATTAATTTCGTTTATGGTATCTGTTTTGAAAGAACTCAAATTCAAACAAAAATTTTTTTTTTAATAAGTGATATTGCAACTAAGAAAATAATTCTTATCTAGCAAATTTTCTGGCTCAATATGGGGGTTATGGGTGTATCATCCACTGATGAGTTCCCTGCACATTATATTTGTCTAGCCGATGAGTTCAAGCGGTCTGACCCTTTTTAGTCGTCTATATACTTGATCAACATCTAAAAGTTGCAGCATCTCGAGGTTATCATGCAGGAGTAATCGTGATTGATGGTTGATTGCATACTTCTTTATTTCATCTTTGACTGTCGGCACGTTTAGATCTCGATGTAGAGTATCATTACTTACGTACCATGGTGCATTTACAATGATTTGGAGGACCTTGTTTTGGAAAGTTTGGATAATTTATAGCTGTATACCGTAAGTCCAAACAGGCTTAAGAACCTGATTGTAGAGAAGTAGTTTGTTCTGTGTATTAAGCTCAGAATGTCTTCCAAGAGGCCAATACATGTTTCTCTATTTAATTTTCAGCTCATTTTTCTTTTTTTAACATGCTCTTTCCACTTTAATTTAGCATCTAGTGTCATACCAAGGTATTTGGCTTCGTTGGCGTACGGAATTGTTGCCCCATTAAGTAAGACACCACTGTTGATGTAGTTTACGTGTACTGATTTAGCTTCGTTGAGTTTGAACCTCCACTTTTTCGTCCAAGTAGACACTTCGTTCAATTCGACTTGCAAAAGTTGCTAAGAAAGTTTTTTCGCTTTGCGGGACATCTCTGGTGTAATGCAAGTACAAAAAGGGTCCCAGCATACTTCCCTGAGGCATACCAGCCCTCAAATTTTTAAAGATGGAGTACTCTTCCTCAAATTTTACCCTGAATATTCTGTCAGAGAGGTAGGACTTCAATATTTTTGGAAATGGCTCCGACAGAAACTCCCTTATTTTCCTGGTCTTATCTTATGATCAGGCCAGGATCGAGTCAGCTCAGGTCTTAGGATCGGGTAGGCAGGTCCGTCGAAACAGCACTACATGAGGTCGTTCGGATTCGATTGGAGCATTCTATTCAATAAAGGCAGTATATTCGGGTGGTTTTCCTATATGTAAAGGGAGCATTTAATAATAGGTCATTCGGAGGTCTCTAGCCAAGTTTGTTGTGTTGCTGTCGCCGGCTTCCTGAATTGCGTCTGGCAGCAGGGTGATCAAGCACATCTGCAGTATAGGCATGCCTCAGGAGGGGAATTCTTCAGTATCACAGCAAATTAACAATAGTGTTGTAATTTTTGTGGAGTGGTTAAATTTATTTAATTGTTCTAAATTTTGATTTGTTTTTTTTTATTTTGTTTTGTTATTCATTTTATTTTTTTATTATCTTATTTTTTAATATTTCGCACATTTTCCTAATTTCATTATTTTTCTTATTCTAAAATTTTCTAATTGTAAAAGTACACATTGGGTATCAGGAAAACAAGGCCTAACATCAGTGTTCACGACTCTTCTATTAAAAATATCGGGTGAGACTGTGTCCGCTGTCATAAGTTGAAACATGAACATCACATCCGCGACCTCACCTGTGTTACTTAACATCGACAAGTTCATCAGTTGAAGCCTATCCTCAT